TGGAGGAGGCGCCTGGGGAGAGGGAGGTCTGGGAACGCCTTGGTATTCCCCTGGATGAGGCGCCTGGGGAGAGGGAGGTCTGGGTATTTCTGCTCAGACTGATGCCCCTGAGATCCAGACCTGGATGAGCGGTTGGAGAATCGATTGATGGATGGATGGATGGATGAATGCACTGTCTTTGCACTTTTTCTTTGTATCTGTGCATTCCTAGCCTAGTCTTAAAGGTACTGACAGCACTTGTCAAAGTAACCTAACGATCTCAGGCGTCAGGAAAATTCATCACCAGTATCTCTCTTAATAAATATGAAAGTGATGTTCAATAAAATGTAATTATGGTAGTTTATTTCAGCTCAAATGTAATGATGCAATTACATGCTTAAAAAGATGTTGATTCTTTTGTGTTGTGTAAAAACTTTGCATAAAATCCTATAAACATCATAATTTTATGAACAGACATTATGTAAAAAAATAGTAAAAACCATGACTGAATTAGGTATTCCAGACCAAAGGCTCATGTAACTAACACAGTTGAGGATAGACAAAAACACAGAACAGCTGGGACCCCGTTTCTTCCAGTATCAGAATTGCACTTGCATATTCCAGCAATACAGACAGTCTTCGTTTTACATCCAAATGCTATATTGCAAATACAAATTTCACAGACTTCATATAGTATATTATTGGGTAGGTATTAAGGGGCAAGATCAGAATCCTGCACACTTGCAGAAGATGGGTCATATGGCACGATAATGCAGAAGACACAGCCTGCCTCTTGAAAAGCCTGTTTCATCGCCATCTGGTGGCAGAAGAGAGAAAACACCCAAACACGCCAAAAATGTAAACAGTGAAAACATTTTTTTAAAAATCCTCCATGTTCCAACCACCTATTCCGGTTAGGATCATGTGGGGCCCTGGAGCCTATCCCAGGAGGCAAAGTGCACAAAGATGGGGCACACCCTGGGTGGGATGCCATCTCACCGCAAGGCGTGCACACACACACAGACAGTCCAAAACACACAGACCTTAACCTCTACCCAGCCCTAACATTAACCATAAGTAACCAAACAAAATAAATTTTGGCATGTTCAGTTCAGTTTTTTGACTGCATTCACACATCTTTGTAGGGACCTGAAAAATGGTCCCCACAACATCAAAAAATATTTTATTACACAGTCATACTCTATGGGCAATTTTAGAGAGACCACTTAGCACAGCTTAATTTTTTAATAAATTGCGAGTTGTTGCAAGATCTTTATATATTAATACAGATATGCATAATCCTCCCTGGTATACATTTTTTCAGCTGTGTAAATGTTACTCTCAAACACTGATATTGATTATACTGGAATCTATCCGCATGCCTTGACTCAGTCACATACCAGTCTGTCAGAGTCCAAACAAAGTCCCACAACTGCACCTCCACTGCCAGGCAACTTCACTGCAGAGCCAAACTGGACAGACACACACAAAGAAAAAAATGATATCACCACACATCTGTCTGTGTGAACCACTGCATAAACATTAAAATATGCCCCCCTCCCTCCACCGAGAGGCTGCAAGTCAGGGTTACCTGTATCGCAATCTGCACCATCTTGAGGTTCCCAGGACCCAGACTCTCGTCGGTGTACACAGACCTGTGGAGGGCAGTGTGCTGAGTGCTCACAGCGGCTCTTCATGCACAGAAGCATCCAACCCCTCACTGTCATTTATTAGAAACAAAACTTTACTCCTGCAGGACTTACTGTCAACCTCCACTCTACATAAACATGGAGATCGTCATAGAAACACTGCATGGAGATCGTCATAGAAACACTGCACAATTAGAGGAGAGGCCTGGACTGGAAAATAACTCCACCACACTGTGGCCAGGCGGCTGCACACGGATGCGTGTCTGCTTGCCTTCTGAGCTCGAAGTTCTGATCCATGAGTTGAGCCAGCCTGGACCAGTCTTTGCACTTGAAAGCTGACCTAAACGGATGAAGACCCAATTAATGCACGACCCTGCAGACCCCTTCTGTCCTCTCTCCCACACCCTCATGCTTCCTTCCTCAGGCACTCAGGTAGACGTCTCCCTCTAGCGACATCTCACGAGAGATCCTGAGCGCCTCACCTGGCCTGATCGGTCAACTCCGCAAAGGAATTCATGGCCTGGACCACGGCGGTGTCTCCTGTGTGGACCCAGAGAGAACCAGTGTGAGGAAACAGCCCGTTAGATACTCTACGACGGCCATCACTCACCCCCCAACCAGTAAGAATCCTTCCTAGCGTCTTCAGGAAATAATGACAGTCTTACTACTGCCTCATTCCCCGGCACCTGACAGTGTTTACCGTTCAGCCAGCGCTGACGCACATTGCTGTGGATCCGCCCAGAATCACTGGGGTCGCAGAGGTAGGCCAACCAGAACTGGGGAAGGTCTGTCATGTCCATTGGGATGTACTCCCCTGCAAACATACACACACAGGTTTGTTGTTATATCTTTGTGGGGACTCTCCATTCATTTCAATGGGGAAAACTCTAATCCCAACATGATGGCTCCAACACTTATCCAGCCCTAACCTCAACCATAAGAGACCAAACTAAATATGAGACTTTTGGCATTTTTAGTTTTTTTGATTGCAGTCACAGATCTTTGTGAGGTTAGGGTTAGGGTTGTGGTCCCCACAACGTCAAAATGACAGATTTTCATCACATTGTGGGGGACATTTGGTCCCCACAATGTAATATAAACACACACACACACACACACACACATATCCTGAAGATACACGTATGGCTGCATTGAACACCATCTGATAAAATACCGTAGCCCTTTTCGTCCATGAGGTCCTTACTGAAGTCCATGTACACCAGGCCTTCATACACCTGCATTCAGAAACACAGCCCCATTTCTACACTGTCACTTATTATGCACAAACAGTAATAATGTCTTAAAAGATATTTGGCAAAGCTTTGGCAGGTGCAAGCGAAAAACAGAACAAGATTCCAGAAGGTTCTACGCCGCCCGCTAACCTACTACAGCCATTCAGCTGCTCCACCTGCTGCGGCCATCCACCCGCTCACCTGCACCACTCGGTCCTGCAGTCCCGCCGTGATGAACAGCTCCTCAGTCTCGACGTTCAGGATGAAGCTGGCCTGCACTGCTCTCGGCATGTCCTGCTAAAACACAAAAGGATTTACAGATGAGAGGATCACCCGGATTCAGAAGCAATCCTCTTACTTTTAACAGCACAGACAAAATGAAGCAGTGAGGCACAGGCCTCCATCACTGAGTTAGAAGGTGGGGTCAAGGGTCAAAGAACAGCGAGTCCATACATGGTCTGTGATGTTGTAGAATTTCATCAGGCACTTCAGAGTGGCAGATACTATGGCACTATGATTAAGAAAGACACTGATTAAAGCATTGATATAACAGGAAGATTCCGGAATAGGCACAGACATGGAGTCAACATGGGGAATTTAAGTTCCAAAAGGGAAATGATTTATTCTGCATAAATAATTACCGCATAAATAAACTAATGGAACAATCTCCTGAATCTGTCAGATGTTGCCAATATATGTCTACATATTTATCAATACATCAATACACAAATTTATTTTTTAACAGAAGACTTCAAACTTTAATACACAAACAACTTACCTGCTGCCAGCCAGACCCTAAGAGGGGTAAGACTCACATCAGTCACAGTGCAGGATGTCAGTTATTCGAAGCTGAATTCCAAAAAACACCAAGTCAAATGCTCAGCTCAAGTTAACCTATTTTATATAGCGCCTTTCACAACAGCCGCCTCAAGGCACATGAGTGTGTTGTGATACATTCCTGCATCATTTATGGAGAATAATTAAAAAACAGGGAAGTGTGAGTACTCTACCACACCACAGCCTGTACTGTTAGCAAGTACTCTACCACACCATAGCCTGTACTGTTAGTAAGTACTCTACCACACCACAGCCTGTACTGTTAGTAAGTACTCTACCACACCACAGCCTGTACTGTTAGTAAGTACTCTACCACACCACAGCCTGTACTGTTTTAGCAGT